CATGAGTTACGGGTGCTGCTCACCAGCTACTCATCTCCCTCCTCCAAACACATTCACTCTTCATAGAAGAACTCGAGTCCATGTCTGGCAGGTCAGTTTACTGTCTGCAGGTTGAATGTTCAATGACATGCTGCGTGTCACTGTCTCTATATCAGCAGCAGGGTTACACGTCCATCCTGAACTCTCACTTACCATCTTACTGCGTCAATACAAAGAAGGTAGGTCAAGAATCTATTCACTCTCTGGTCAAATAAATCTAAATATCATATATAAAAAAATCAAAGTCTATGAATAATTGTGGCAATTTGTCAAACATTTTTAATGGTTACATTGTTGCACACAGTTCCTTTATTACAATTTCTATTAGAAAGAAAAATCAATATTTGATATATTTTACATTTCTGTTCTGTCCCTGTCTTTCTACTTTAAAATGTCATGTTTAATTCAATGTGTTACTTGCCTTTTTTTGTAATTGTTAGTGAAAATTGGTTCTACATCAAATTTGCTTCAGTGTAGCTTTTTTCCAGGAATCTGTTCTGTACATCACAATACAGAAGAAAAGATCTGTTGCTACTTCCATTTCATCAGGACTTTAACGTTGGATTCTCATTGTGACAACTTACAGTAGCTTGTGTGCTTCACATGTACAATACCCTGGACAATAGTTAAGGCTTTAAATTGATAGTTCATAATATACACTGTCTGGCCACAAAAAAGAACTTGCCATCTGGATTTAAATAAGAAAAATACTGTGAAGAAAAATAAGTGTCTAGGATTGGATCATTATTTTGGTAATTAATATGTTTCAGGCAAACAACTCTTTTAACCCTAAATGATGCAGTGTAGCTTTTTATTTCTTAAACAACCATGTCGGAAGACAAGATTCATTGGACCCAATTTGTGAAATAGTGTTTCAGTGAGCATCAGATATGAATTGGCACCACAAAGTCCTGAAGTTAACACTATTAGAAGTCTTTAGGGTGCGCTGGAGTCGACTTTACAGAGTGGATCTACTCTCCCATTGTCAATATAAGAAGGACTCTGTGCTGGCCAATCTTTCATGATTTCAGCCTGATGAATCTGAGCATTGCCATCCTGGAATATGGACATGGGTACATCTTCTGACATGGCTGTTTGAGAAATAAAAAGCTTAAAAGCTTTGTTGCCAAACATACAACATGCCAGAAACCCATTTATAACTGCAATAATGACTCAGTCTTAAAATCTTAATCTCATCTTTTTTTTGTTGGCCAGGCTGTGCATATTAAAAGAAAAATGCCACCACATTTGGTCTCCACAATGCCAAACTCATTATTTCCACAACACAACTGCATCTTGTCTCGGTGGTTTTTGAAGGTGATCTTGGTTTGGCGAGTCTGGGTGGTCTCTCCGAGCTCGTCTGCAGTGTTCACTTTTACTCCTGAGGGAGTCTGAGGCGAGGCTAGACAGCCCAACTCTCTTTCTGAGCTAACTGGAGATGTGCTGGTCAGTTTGCTCTGGCTCTCCACACTGCGGCTGGGGTGCAGATGCAGTGATCCGCAGGTTTTTCCTGTGGAAAAGGACTGTAGGATGACTGTCAAAGGGTCTTTCATTCAATGCTGTACGCCAAGCCCTGGCCCACAAACTATGAGGCCACTATCCTTTATTCTGTGGGCCAGACACACTCCAAATGTCACGGCTTTGACTGATAAGCTGCTCTGGCTGCCTGTGATCGACTCCATCGGATTTCACTGCACATCTGTAACTTTCAGTGCATGCAACTCTAAATGCTACATGCAACACTCACAATGCTGATGCTTAAACTAAACTAGTCTACTGTACGAGTAGCATTTCTGCAGGGATATTCAGAAGTTGCATTTTAATCAGCCGCGCTCCTCCACAGAGAGACATAAAGGCTGTTATTCTAGCGGTCTGTTGACACAACACGAGGGTGAAAACCTTTTCACAGAAACAGCATCCCTGCGGTGCGTCATGAGACTGGACACATCACGCTCTCCGCTGTATCCGCTCTGCTAGAGAGCTCTTTCTGCCCTGATGAGCAGACAAACATTAAAGGTAATAATTAGAGCAATTCCTTCTGCACACATTCAGCAAAAGGTGCAAACGGCTGAAGCTTCCTCTCCATATGTCTCTCTCTCTCTCTCTCTCTCTCTCTCTCTCTCTCTCTCTTTCTCTCTCTCTCTCTGTGTGTTTAATCATCATATCTCTCTCTCTCTCTCTTTCTCACTCCAGCGGACAGGAGCTAGTGTCTCTCTCTCTCTCTCTCTCCTCAGCGGAGTCAGTTGACGCGGCCAATAGTGGCTGCTGGATTCCTAGAGGAAATTTACCAGCGAGGTCAGAGTGGTTCAGATGGCCCAGTGCCACGGCTGAGTATAAGGGCGAGTTTAAGTTGGGCCAGTGAATTAAACTCCCCATGGATATGTACTGTATGTGTGTGTGTGTGTGTGTGTGTGTGTGTGTGTGTTTGGTTCAGTGGAAGAAACCTTCAAGCAGCAAAACAGAAAACTCTTGCAAATTTGCACAAATTGAAATGACATTTTGTTCCGGATGATTTAGTTTCCCTTGATGTTTGCAAGGCAAGAATCACTATTGATTGCTGTTGCTCACCCTCAGGCCATCCAAGATGTAGATGAGTTTGTTTCTTCATCAGGTTTGGAGAAATGTAGCATTGCATCAGTGTCTCAGCAATGGATGCTCTGCAGTGAATGGGTGCCGTCAGAATGAGAGTCCAAACAGCTGATTAAAACATAATGTAATCCATGTTTGTAAGAAACAAATTCATCATTAAGACGCTTTAACTTTAAACCATCACTTCTGGCCAAAATACGAGTCTGTAATCTATAATAACTATTCCTTTAAAAGCTTGATCTGACAAGCTCATTTATGCTACAGACGTCATTTATGACTCATTCATACGGCTTGTTGCAGAGATGCGAGTTCATAGTTTTCCCAAGCAATCAGACGTATAACTGACAAACAGTAAAATAGGTGAAACTAAATACCAGTCAGAATTTAAAATGAAAGTTAGAACTGAAATTAGGGCTAATAATATAAATTATTTTGTAAGGAAACAGCAAACAACATACCATAGTTTCTGGGACGAAAAACTGCACATTATGTTCTTCCATAAGATTCAATCCACGGGTTCATGGCCTCAAAAGGGCTCTTAAATTGAGTTTTTTAACTCTGTCAAACTAAAATTATATTCATCATAAAATAACATTGACTTCTGCTTTCTGCGACTATATAAGTATCAGTAACATACACATAATCACCCATCTGAGAAATATTACCTCACTTTAGTGTGATCAGTGCTTCATATGCATTTGATAGACTTTCTTTTTATTTACTACATCGTGTTTATGACAACCGAGGCATTTTTCTTTATGTCGGAAAATGCATGCAGCGTAATATATAGAATACACACAGCATATGGCCATTGACTGTATATGCAAGTATCCAGCCACTGTATTTCACAGCAAGCTACAGATTGTTTATTGCCTGCAGTGGCCATTATTCTACAGGACACGAACAGTGTCAGGAAATCACATTTGTTGAGGAAACACTTTTGAAATGTGAGGAGCATTTTCAGAAACAAGTGTATTTTCTCTTTATTATGTGAGACAGTGAGATAAGATGGCAATAAAATGGCTGTAACGTGTGCTGTCTGCATATGGGAGGTCGTACTGTATGCTAGTGGAAAATATAATCTGTTTCTGAGAGTGTTATATTGCGAGCAGTACCCTGGCTTCATAGAAATATAATGATGTTCATCCTCTGTAGTGGATAAGAATCAATGTCTAAGTGTCTAATATCTACAGTGGCTACAGTGTAAAGCTCTTAAAATATGGTCTGCAACTGGTCTGGACTCTTGAATATTTCAACTGAAACTCTATAAGTGCCTTAATATTACATTCAGCTGGTTGTCAATCACAGATATGTGTGTGTGTGTGTGTGCGTGTGTGTGTGTGTGTTTGAGTGTGTGTTTGTGTGTGTGTGTGTGTGTGTGTGTGTGTGTGTGTGTGTGTGGTTACATACCCATCTTGTATGAATTTTCTATAAAACTTTACACTGATATATTTTGATTTGAAAGAGATTATATCATAAAGGATCAAAATTTCCCTGAGCTCTTTAGATATGAGCTCGATGTATTCTAGAACTGTATTGTGATTTTCAAAACTGCCTCTCTAGTCAAAAATGAGCCATTTATGAAAAATAAGAATGATATCCACAGAGCAGGATCCAGCAGAATATATGCACAACATAATAAACATTTATTATACAGGCCTGCTATATATATCTAAATGAAATGCTGAATTTTCATTGCACCTTGTTGTATCTTAAATACTGTCTGTTTTTACGTTGAATTGGCAGCACAAACAAATTAGATATGTTTAGGTGGTTAAAATCCTGCAATTCAGTCATTAGGTTAACATGACCATACGATTATCATTGTTTTAACAACACGTTTTTCTTTTGGGTTTTATGAGTTTTTATCTGTACTGAAATAGAAAATGGTTGGAAATGGTTAGAATTTGATTCACACTACCTTAATTTGTGTTAAAAATGTAGGGCAGCAGTTACTTGAAGTTGGTTGGTTAACTTTTTACAGTGTAGATGTTTGGACCCTCCTCTCATAAGGGGCCCGGGGCTCTTACGCACAGGTGTGGGCTGTGATTGGCTGTTCGGAAGCGCGTGTGCAGCTCACCGGGGTCCGAGCTGCTCCAGACATTCACTAAAGAGACTCTGAGAACATCTGCGTGAGCAATGGCACAGGTATCCTCAGTCACACTCCACTAACGCGCAGGGAGAAGTTCTCCAACATGCTATCGGATCTGGAAATACGCTGTCAGGATACAGATCATGGATTCGGTGTCGCGTTGACTGCGCTTCACTGATGCTGTATGAATAGATTTGAAGCGCACGAGCGCCTGCAGTGATTCAGTGAGAGCGCAGCGCGCGTTTGGAGAGGCACAGAGGCTGCTCGCAGCAGATTTAGGATAAGAGTCTTTAGGAGACATGGCTTGCCTGCGCTCTGTGCCAGCGAGGAGGAATCATACCGCTTCCATCTGTTCTGTGCTGTTCATTCTCTTCTTTATACTCGGATGCCAGCAGGTGAGCAAACACGCGCCTGTTTCGTCATTATTGCTTTGTATTGCAATGCAAATGATGCATGTTCACTGTCTGTCCATGTAGAGATCTCACTGTGCATCTGCAACCCTTCACGCTGGTCCTCATGTAAAGCGTAAAGCTCTGCTGGAAACTCTGCGGTTACCTCACAACACAGGTGAGAGTGTTACAGTTACCTGTCAGACGTGATTGACAGCTGTCAGTCGCATTAACTAGGCTAGGCTGATATGACGAATTTACTGATATTGCATCATTAATTTAGTAGCAATATGAGAATTTTGTCCCAAAATTAAAAGAAAGAAACTCTACGATTGCTTTGTAGGAGAATGACTTTATTGCAGTTGCACAGTCTGTATGAGATGTCGTCAGCAGGGGGCGCTAGATATCCTAATTGATCTGATGCCTATGACAAATGCACCCTATAATACAAGCTCACAACTGTTGTGTGGAGGTGATTAGGCCATTTAAAAATAATAATGAATGCATTAATAATAACTTTAGTGTTTCTCGTGGGGATATTTAATACCTACAGTGTGAGCAAAACCTGACACCCATGCATGCACACGCATTTCTTTAGCTTTGTAAATGAAGATATACCATAAAAATAGCTCCACAACTTAGAGTTTTTATGTAAAGCTAATTATAATAATCCAAGGGTTTGGATACCCTTCTCCTAAAAGAAAACTAAATTCGATTATAAATAAAAGCATGTTTATTTCTTATATGAATCATTTGTTCCAACCAAGGGTGTCCCCTAAAGGAGGTTTTGTTCGTCGCTTCCTGCGGACAGTTTTGTACGCGCGTACACACACACACACACACACACACAGAGAAGGG